ACTTGGAGAACTACAACAACCACAATCAAGAAAGTACAAGTATTTATAAATAGCCGTCTACGCAAGATATTCAACATCCATTGACCGGATACCATCAGTAACAACCTGCTTTGGGAGAGAAAAAACTAGCTTCCAGCTGAAGAGGAAATTAGGAAAAGACGATGGAAATGGATAGGACATACAGTACGCAAATCGTCAAACTGCATCACGAGGCAAGCCCTAACTTGGAATCCTGAAGGAAGGCAGAAAAGAGGAAAGCCAAAGAACACATTATGTCGGGAAGTAAAAGCAGATATGGAAAGGATGAATATCAACTGGAAGGAGCTGGAAAGGATTGCCCAGGACAGGTTTGGATGGAGAATGCTGGTGAGCAGCCTATGCTCCTTTACGAGGGGTTGCAGGTGTAATTAAGTAAGTAAGTTGTTTCAAATTCTTACATAAATTTCATTTTATACATTCAGTACGAAAACTTCGAGGAACTCTTGAATAGGCCAACTCCATTGAATCCACCGGACATCGAAGCAACACACACAGATCTTCCTATAAATGTCACTTCATCAACAACGGAAGAAATGAGGATGGCCATCAAACTGATCAAGAGTGGGAAAGCAGTAGGACCTGACAATATACCAGCTGAAGCACTCAAATAAGACATAGAAATAAATGAATGGATGGTTAGTGTTCTATTCAGGAGGATTTAGGAGAAGGAACAAGAACCACCGACAGATTGGAAAGAAGGACACCTCATCAAGATTTCAAAGAAAAAAGATCTCAGAAAGTTTAAGAACTACAGAGGCATCACACCATGACATGCTTTCAACAGAGCGTTACTGAACCAGATGAACAATTCAGTAGAAATCCAACTTCAAAATCAACAGAATGGATTCTATAAGGATCGGTCATGCTCAGGCCAAATCACGATCCTACTAATCATCTTTGAATAATCAGTGAATGGAATTCGTCACTATACATCAACTTCCTTGACCATGAAAAACATTTGACAGTGTGTATAGGCGAATCCTATGGAACCTTCTTTTTAACATTATTGAATGATTAGCTGAGAAAATCGTCAACATCATACGGTATTCATATGATTGATCCAGAATACATGATTAAAATGCACATTCATTGAATGTTGTTAAGTTAATAAATTACTTCAACTCCAGTTATACATAGATGAATAGAATAGTAAGTTTCTACATATACATACAAGTGATGATCATATGTATAATTCATCTAATTAAAAGAATGATGATCTCGATCTGAATTTATTGTTTATTCAAAGAACCAAAAATCAATAAACAAAGATTACCAATACACTAACACGAAGTATTCAAGTTTCGAGTATCAGTAATGCAAACTTACTTTTATTAAAATGTTGTTATGTGTGTGTATATGTGTACCTAGTTACTAGAATATAATGAATTCAATTGTTTAATCAAGCATAAATGTCTAACTCTGTTTGTAGCCTTTTTAGGATTATTGTCAGTCTTAAGCCCGAGTAAAGGAGAAGGATTTGGCATGGGGTTAGTGAATCCAACCCGTAGGAAACAACCTTGTTAAAACAACGCTAACCAGAATAAATAATTTAAACTACTTAAACTCTATCCTCTGAGTTGAACACCTCATGGTGAAAATCAAGATTCTTCGGAAGTCACGAGGCTGATGTCCATTCTAACAAACAGAACAACAATTTTTATAGGTAAACGGAACGTCCAGACAATGTGGGAGACCGGGAAGACCAGTCAAATAGTAACGGAAATCAGGAGATACAACTTGGCAGTACTGGAAATCAGCGAAACCCATTGGATCGAAGCTGGACAACAAAGGCTAAATATGGGAGAGAAGCTACTATACTCCGGTTATGAAGAGGGAAATGCTCCACACATTCAGGCAGTTGCTCTAATGCTGTCCAAAGAAGCACGAAATGCACTTGTAGGATGGGAATCTCACGGATCCAGAATCAACAAAACATCATTCAAAACGAAGAAGGAGGGATCACAATGAATGTTATCCAATGTTATGCACCCACCGATGATAGCAAAGGCGACAATAAAGATCAATTCTATGGGCGGCTGCAACCAATCATAGAGAAGTGCCCAGGGAAGGACCTCACCGTTCTGACGGGAGATCTAAACGTCAAAGTCGGGATAGACAACACCGGATATGAAGATATCATAGGAAAACATGGACTGGGAGAGAGAAACGGAAATGGAGAAAGATTTGCAAATCTGTGTGCATTCAACAAATTGATCATAGGCGGCACAATATTTCCACACAAATATATACACAGAGCTACATAGATCTCACCGGACCATACCACAAAACCGGATAGGTCATATTTGCATCAATAAAAAATTCCGAAGGACAATGGAAGATGTGAGAACCAGGAGGGGAGCTGACATAGCTTCAGATCATCACCTGGTGGTGGCCAAGATGAAACTGAAGCTAAGGAAACACTGGACAACTAGATAAACATCATTACAAAGATTTAATACAGCCTTCCTTCGAGGTACTGACAAACCCAACGAATTCAAGATAACTGTCAACAACAGGCTCCAAGTCTTGCAGAATCTACTCAAAGAAGAAACTACTATGAAGGACAACTGGAAAGGCATCGGAGAAACCTTAACTTCAAAGTGTCAAGAGGTTCTGGGTGGTAAAAGCATCATCATAAGGAATGGATTTTTATCGAAACCCTTGACCAGATCAAAGAAAGGAAGAACAAGAAGACAGCAATTAACAGCAACCGAACAAGAGTAGAGAAAGTCAAGGCACAAGCAGAATAAATGCACAGGGTTGGATGAAGAATGCTAGTTGGCAGCCTACGCTCCTCCATGAAGAGTAACAGGGGTAACACTCTCCACATCTGCATGAAAATTATAATGTACTCACTAGTGACTAGCTTTGAGATGAAATTTCTGGAGTTCTAATGAAAAGCCGTGCCGAAGATAGTTCAATCTTATCGGATGCGGGGAACGTACCCATCAATAACAATGGATGTTGGTCGCGCAACATCATGGATTGATTACAGTCAAATGTTCACGATCAGGATCGAAGGTCGTGAGTTCGTTCCTTCGAGTTTGAATCGTGGATTTATATTGTTGAAGAGTCCCATACCAGGACAAGACACCCGCCTAGTGCTTTCAGGTTTTCAGTAGTTATCTAACTTGAATCGGTTTGTGATTCAACAATCTCCACAATCCCATAGTGATATCAAAATTATTAGAAATATCAAATTGTTTGACAAAATTCAATGCATTGAAAGAGGTTTTCATCATTAAATGAAATGGGATAAATATATTATTTGTAGTGTAACAAATATACTATCAAAATACAACACAATTTAAATAACTTAAATAGTTGAGATCATGAACCGATTGATGTTAGACCACCATTGAAAATCTGGAAGCATTGGACGGCCGTTTCGTCCTATTGTGGGACTCCTCAGCAGTGCGCAAACACAACCCTACTGCGGGTTTCGAACCCAGGACCTATCGGTCACGTGCGCGAACGCTTAACCTCTAGACCACTGAGTCGGTCTAACTTCAACTAATCCACGAAATTTAGCCACCATCTACTATTTCACAACAAACCCGGTTGAACTCCAGTTGAAGGAGTCCCATACTAGGACGAAACGGACATCTAGTACTTCCAGGTTTTCCGTAGTGGTCTAGCTTTAACTTATTCATGATCTCACATATTTAGTTGTAAACAGCTGATAAAAAACCATGAAATATAATGAATTCATATTTCCTGAATCGTCACCATAGTAGTTAGAAGAAGAAGAAGAAGAGAAAAAACTTAGTTTAAATTACCATATTGAAATAATAATAATCATCATCATCGATTTAATGTATGATTACAATAGTTCAATTCTAATCTTCTTTATAAACTTAAATCGTTTACAAGTGTACAATAATTATAGATTAGTACAAAGGTGTAAACTGATTTTAATCATGAACTGGAAATTAGATAAAATACTATTGTAAATTATATTCATAACCTGTTATGTCAACAAGCAGTAACGTAGAGTAATGTCTAGACCTGTAAGACTGCGATTGAGAATCCGGAAGTACTGAACTTCCGTTTTGTCCTAGTATAAGATTCCTCAGAAGTGCCCATCAACGACCTCGCATGCGAACGCTTGAACTCTAGATCACTGAACTACCATTTATTAGTGTGAATTTTTAACTTCAACTAATTCATGATTTTGTACAACTGTTTATCGATTGCCTGAAGTGAATATTTATCTTACTCTCGACACAGATTGAACATCATTGGTCACGACTTATAACTAGAACTCCAGGAGTTACATCTTGAAGATAGTTACTAGTTAGTATATAATGATTTTCAATTTGAGATTGTGCAAATGTTTGAAGTTCATTGAAATAATGAACTGACAAATGATAGACCCTGATCATGGATGCACAATGATAAGGAGTCTCATACCAGGATGAGATGATCATCTAGTGTTTCCAGATTATCAATCGTGATCTAACATTGATCAATTCATGACTTCATTAAAATGTTAGATTAACTGAAATGATTTCTGTAATAACCATGAATGAATAAATGCAATGTGAATAATCAGAAAGTTAAACATGAGTACGCCCCCCAAATGCCCTGGTACGGCCAAGAGTGTGGAAAGTCAACACTCGCTCTCGAAATGCTCTCACATGGCCCCTTGCTTTCAGCCACTTCCAGGGAAGTCCTACTCATTGCCTTCTCATGGCGGGGGCGTTGTTTGTGAAATTGATAGGACGAACCAGGTTGGTGAACATGGAGGTTCCACCTAGGGGAGTTATTTATTTATTTGAACACATAAATATTGGTACAAGAGAGCGCCAATATATATGCGCCACACAAAACAATGAGAATTCGAAGAGAAAGAAAAAAAGGTAAGGAGCGTGAAAAAAAAGAGAACAATAACGAAGAGGTTGGTGATTAGTAGTTAGTAATAATAATAGTAATAATGAGGGAACGGAAAGGTACAATCAGAAGAAATCTTTCAGGTAAGGAAGACACAACCACTTTTTATGAAGAAAGTAAAAGAAGGTTACAGCAGGATCGCCACTGGCTTCTATTCTGAGCCATATCTGATAACGTCTCTAGCCACTGTGTAGCACCATCTCTCGGACCCCAACCAGGGAGTCGTGAAGGACCAACACAAGCCAGTCCTTTGCAGCTTTCTTTCATACCACGACACCATGTCATGCACTGACCACCTCTCCGCTTCTTCCAACCAGTCCCAGAGTCGGCAAATAATGCACGACGTGGAATTCTCTGGGACGACATTCGGAGAACATGTCCAAGCCACCGAAGTCGGTGTTTCAAGATGGTGACACCAATTGAATTATCATCTCTGTGCCCGAACACACGATGCCGAACCTCTGCATTACTGACATGGTGTTGCCACTGAATGTCAGCAATCCTTCGGAGACAGCGATGATCGAACACAGAGAGTCGTCTAACGTCCTCAACTCGGAGAGGCCAGGTTTCACAAGCATAGAGCAAAACTGCTCTCACCGACGCGTTGTAGATCCGACCTTTTACAGCCAGACTAACATCACGAAGGCGCCAAAGGTGGCCCAGATTGGCATAAGCCGCTCTGGCTTTCACTATTCGTGCATTGATCTCATCACTCACACCCCCACCAGCACTTATGCAGCTACCCAGATACACGAACTTCTCGACTACGTCTATCTGCTCACCATCCAGGGTGAGTACAGGATTAGAATCCTGCCAGTCTTGTAGAAGTACTTTGCACTTCGAAGGTGCAAAGCACATACCATACCTACGGACACTGATTGCCAACTGATTAAGTGCGGATTGCATGCCTTGGGCATTATCGCACAGTAAGACAATATCGTCCGCATACTCAAGGTCGAGAAGTCTTTCTCCAGGCAACAGATCCACACCACCATTACTTACATTCATCAGAGCTGTTTCCAGAATGTCATCGATGGCAAAGTTGAAGAGGAATGGTGAGATTGGGCAACCCTGCCTAACCCCACTGCTCGAATGGAACAATGGAGAGAGGTGGTTGTATGCCCTCACTCTGCCTGAGGTGTTTTTATAGGGCTTTTAGGATGTTAATAAACTTCTCAGGCACACCCTTCTTCAATAGACAATCCCAGAGAACAGTCCTGTCCAACGAATCGAAGGCAGCCCTGATGTCAAGAAACACTACGATTGTTGGCCTTTGAAAGTATGGCGGTGTTCTAACATTTGGCGGAGGGTGAAGATATGATCAATACATCCTCGACCAGAACGAAACCCAGCCTGCTCCTCGCGAGTCAATCTTTCTCGGGTTTTGAACAACCTACGAAGTATGACGGAAGCCAATAGCTTGGACGCAATCGGAAGTAGACTTATCCCCCGATAGTTGTTACAGGAACGACGTGAACCCTTTTTAAAGATAGGGACAACTATCGACTCATTCCATGACGTTGGTACACTCTCTAGTTCCCAAACCTTTGTAAACAACGTCGTCAATTCCTTAGTCAAAAAGTCACCACCATCTTTAAAAAGAGCCGGAGGTAAGTCATCTGGGCCAGGTGATTTGTAACGCTTCAAGAGTTGGAGTTCCTTGCGGACTTCCTCCTCGTTTGGTGGATCAGTCGTCACCGGCCATGGAGGGCAGGACAGTCTGACCGATGTTGCCGGAGCAGCAGGCCAGTTGAACTGCCCTTCGAAAAATTCTGCCCATCGTCCAAGACGTCGATGGATGTTAGTGATTGGCATCCCATCATCCTCGCAGATTGTTTCACTCACACCAGACTTCTTGCTGCCAGTGGCTCGGATGAGCTGGAAGAGCTTCCGGTAGTTACCAGATGCAGCTGCTGCTTCCAGCTCATTAGCACGCATCGACCACCAGGCTTCTCGGTCCTTACGCAAGCTTTGCCCAATTTCCTTACGTAACATCCTTCGTTTATGGTCAAACTCACGGTCACCCGGAGTAGACCGACGGGCTTCAATGAGTTGTAAGGAACCAGAAGAAACCCAGTGCTTAAAAGCGGGACGTTTCGCAAACCCACAACTGACTGTTCCCGCCATTTTCATGGCGTCATGCAATTGCAACCAATGCTCATCTATACTTTTCGGTGGAGTGGTAGCTAGCCTAGAGGCTAGCTCGGTTCGATACTTACTTGCAACAGAAGTTGCAACCAGCTTGCTAACATCAATCCGTTGGTGGCGGTCACTTCGTTGTCCACTGAAAAGTAAGGCAAGATTGGCGCAGACCAAGGCATGGTCAGAGTCCAGATAGGTACTCCAAAAGGAGCGGCAGTCTTTTACACAACCACGCCAGCGGTAGCTGATCGCGATGTGATCAATCTGAGTCCAGGCTTGAGATGCAGAGGGAGGACGCCAGGTGGCACATCGGCGATGACTGTGCCGAAAGTTAGTGCTAGCCAGAAACAGGTTGTGGTCTGTGCAAGTTGCAGTAGACGGTCCCCGTTATCTGACCTGCGACCAACGAGTCCCCATCGGCCACCTAAACGACTCTCTTCTGTGCCTAGACGCCCGACCTGAGCATTCAAGTCTCCGGCTAGTACTACAATATCTGTCGAACGCACTTTCTGGAGAAGAACAGATAACTGGTGGTAAAACTCATCCTTGATTGCATCCGGGCTGCAATCTGTCGGGGCATAGGCGGAGATGACGAAAAGACATCGTTTCTCACGCCGATTTCTTCTCACTTTGATGGAACTTTCTAATCTAACAGCACATAACCGACTGTTAATGGGGATCCAATCGACTAGTGCTGCCTCAGCTCTAGCGCTTAGTGCGACACCAACGCCAGCAAGACCAGACGAAGATGCCACAGGGTCCCCGGATAAGCGCACGTAAAACAAGCTTTTCGAAGCGACAGATGGAGATCGAATTTGTAGTACTTCGCCAGAGTCTTGAATACGGGTCTCGGATAGACAACAACATCGATATTAAGACTTTCCAAAGACATAGCCAGCCCTATCTGTTGTCCGACCTGCATAAATGTGCGAACGTTGAAGGCAGCCAGTTTGAATGGTGCACGTGGTTTCAGAAAAACTGCTTCAGTACTCGTATTCGGTGGTAACATACAATTTTCAACCGGACAGTGACTCGAGAACGTTTAGATACAGTCGAATTTCCACCAAAGACGAGCCGCTGTATAAGTATAAAAGAGGGTGAATAATGGTAGTAAATAATAATAATAATAATAATAATAATAATAATAATAATAATAATAATAATAATAATAATAATAATAGTATATAATAATAATAATTTGATTGTTATTCGAAGCGAGAAAAGTAGTTTCCATAGATATAGAGGGTTCATCATTTGCGTGTGGGCTGCGATACTGCCCGGGTGCCCAGATCGAAGCAGGTGGTTATCTTAGAGGGCCACACCCCGAGCCTTTGACCTAAAGGTCTAACCCACAAGGCAGTGGAGCATCGTAAGGAGATGCAGTCCCATGGTAGCCGGTGACCAAGAAATTGGTTCATACGCCATTTGTTCCCACAGGATACTGGAGCCCATGTGCACCATTGGTTTGGGATCCGGTTAAAGCGCCGGACATTCGCTTTTCGTCCTCTCATTTTCGTAAACAACACCCCGCCACGAGAAGGCAATGAGTAGGACTTCCCTGGCAGAGGCTATATACGCGTAGCCATGTGAGAGCATTTTGAGAGGGAGAGCGGACTCTCCCCACTCTCGGCCGTACCAGGGCATTTGGGTAGTTGCGAAACCCTGATTACAAACCAATGATGCACATATGCTCCAGTATCCTGAATGAAACAAATGGCGTACGAACTAAGTGTTGGTCACCGGCAACCATGGGACTGCATCTCTTGACGTTGCTCCACTACCTGTGGATTAGACTTTTAGGTCAAATGCTCCGATTGTGGCTCCCTAATAAAACCACCTGCTTCGATCTGGGCATTTGAGCAGTATCCTATCCCTCATGCAAATCATGTGAGATTTGTGTGGCACACATCTATTTAGTGTCTCCTTGTACCAATGTTCATGTGTTTAAATAGATAAATCAGTACAAATATGATTTGGAAAGTTTACAACTTGGAATTTGTATACATAAATACGGTAAATCTCATATTGAAATGATCAAATAATTCTAGTGGTATGATGTTCATTCGTTTATTTTATTTAATATTATAAACATTTTCAATGACATTCAGTTATGACATTAACAATCAATTGTATTTCACGTCATTATATGATTACTCAATTATGAAACTGGTTTTCATTCTGATCTATTATTTAGTATTTCTAACATGAATTACTTCATTATATGGTCTCAGTTTATAACATGAATGTGAACTACAATATCAACTAGTTTATCTCTTCTTCTTACTGACTTCTATATCGTTTCCAAATAAATTTTTCATTGACTAATATATGTAGATCTTTATAAAACTACATAATAACATGGTTGTTAAATGGTTTGATGTTAATGAAATACCACGAACAATAAAATAAGTCAGTCAGTCAGTAACAACGTAGAACTTCGTACGTACATACATCAGTTCGAGTTGCCACACCACATTAGCATAGAGATGCAGTAGTCGATTCAAATCCCGTAGTAGTAGAGGTAATAAGAGTATAAGCAGTAATCGGGAAGATTAGTGTTTGGAGATGTTACTTAAAGAGTATAATACTGTGAAATAAATGAGAGGAGAAAAAAAAGGGACAAGAAGATCAAAATTTGGGACAACACAAAGAGTGGATGCACCTGCGCCATTGCAAACGATTTTGAACCATGTCATTCAAGGTTTCTAACCATCGGTTGCTATCATCTCGCGGTCCCCAACCAGGTAGTCTACACCTACTGACATGAAATAAAATGAATCCATTGTGTTGTAACGGATTGATCTCAATTCTTATCATTCTGAATTGTTATTAATTTATATTCAACTATTTTATTACATAATCAACTGATTATTTTAGCTTAATGATTTGATGACCAGTATCCCTTCATATATTGTATTAATTTACAACATCCTTCAATATCATTACTCCACTATGATAATACATATTGTTTTCATCAGACAGGGATTTTTGTGAACATTATGTTATAATAGACCACCAAGGAAAGCGCAGAAGCACTGGATAGCTGTTTCGTCCTTGTATAAGATCCCTCAACAATGCGCATCCACGGTCCCGCTCCCTGTGAGATTCAAACCCAGGACCTATCAATCTCACGCGTGAACGCTTAACATCTAAACCACTGAGTTGGCCGGCATCCAAGGGTGTTAATGTCTAACTTCAACTAATCCATGAAATTGAGCCACTATCTCACAACAGATTCGATTGAACTCCACTGGTCACTGTTTCTCACTAAGAACTCCAGAAAACACCTCTTGAAGTCCCATAATAGAACGAAACGGCCGTCCAGTTGTTCCGGATAATCCATAGTGCATCTAGTTTCAGTCGACTAATGAATTCAACTATTAAACACATTCAATTTTGCTTAATGATAATTTGACTTTAAAATTCTTATAGGATGTTAGCAACTAATAAGAACTTAATAAAACTGAAATGACTGTTTGTTCTGTTTCATTCTTTGTTCGAGCTCTTCAAAGTTAAAATCTCATATAGATGCAGAAATATAATGATTGAAAGTATAAAAAAAAGGTGGGTATAAAAAGTTAATTAGAATATATGGAGGGGGGAGCAATGTGAGTTACAACACAAAATTTAAGTGAATAAAGAACTCCGACCGTGTTGAACCCTTCAATCTAGATATCATAGAAATAATCAAATATTCTAAGATAAAGTTCAATTTGATATGGAAATTTTAGAGGTGAAGTAAAATCAAGATTTTTAAGAAAGAATTTTTTTTTTGAAAAATGATGAAATTACTCAGTAAAGTTGTACTATAATAGATAGACAATTATGAATATGTAAACTGGCATAAGATCATGTTGCATTTGTTAAAATGGGGTTAGAAACTAATGTTAAGACTTAGAGTTATGTTTTTATCACAGATCAGTCATTCAGTCACAAAGTAGAACCTTCTATGTATGTATATCGGTTCAAGTTGCCATATCTTATTGAGTAGATTAGTACAAGTAACAACAGCATCAGTGATACTAAGAAAGAGTAGGTATCGAATATACAACTCGAGAACATAAGTTAGCGAATCAAATTATGGGAAATGTAAAATCTCAGGATTTGGGGGGAAGATAAATAACAGATGCACCTGTATCATGAAATTCAAAGTCTCTAATCATTGATTAAGATAATCACACAGACTCCAATCAAGTACTCCGCACCTACCTACATGGCTCAGCTTAAAAGTTCGTGTCATCATGGACTTATACCATGTCTTCGTTTGGCCGCCCCTATCTTCCCTTTCAGCCTACTCCTACACCATACAATATTGTCCGGTGAGGTGAGCGGTGGTTGGACATATATAACATATTATCTCAACCCCCTCAGTTGATGAAGATTTATTACGCCATCATTCAATTTGCCATCCTCACCTAGCACCCGTTTCCTAACCCAGGCATTGGTTACTCCGTGGTCCCAAAATACACGAGCAATGCTTCGAAAATCTTTATGATCGAATACTAGTAATCTACGAATTTCCTCTACTCTTAATGGCCATGTCACATATCCATAAAGTAGAACGGAGCGAACTTCTACGTTGTAAACTCGTCTTTCGGTTGGAAGACGGTATCTCGCCTACACCACAAGTGACACAAGTAGACAAAAGTCAATCGAGCATTCGGAATCCATGCTGAGATTTTGTCAAACACCAGACCATCAGTGATGATGAGACTCCTAGAATAGATGAAGTAATCGATATATTCATCTACTTCACCCACTATCATTAATTCATGTATTGATGTCAGTCAATCCTGAAGTAAAATTTTACATTTGAATGCAGGAACTATATCCTGAACATGCTTGCATTGTTACTAAAGTTGGTCAGAAGATTCTTCATTTATCACAAATTGATATCAGATATAATGCAAAGGATTATAAACACTATATTCTTATCTTAAGTCTCAGAATAATAAATCATACATCTGAAGTTCGTTCACAACGGCAGCATAGTAACAATTCTACACTAAATATGATAGTACTGCATAATGATTTCTAAAGAAAAAAAAATTTAGTAATTGAATAAGTTACAAATAATCATAATGAGAGCTGATTATGCAATTAATAAATTGATAATCAATAAATTCAAGTTGGACAAATTATGCAATCAGGGATCAAGATAATTATTATTATGAGAACAAAGAAAGATGAATCCCATTCAATCATATTTATTTGTATAGATAGGTCAACAAGAAAAAAGGGTTAATATGAACGATCTTTAAAACACAAAGCTATTTTCAACTTGTCTGTTTTCCATGTGTACCGACTATTAGATGTATAAGAATTGAAATTGTGAACACTGTTT